GCGGCTTCTAATACAGATTTCACGGTACATGTATATCCGATCCCATACTGCAAAATATGAGACAAGCCTACACATATGAAATGTTGGATTAACCGAACACTCACTTCCAGGTCTCATTGGTCCCAATAGATCTTCTTCTAGAATTGTCTGTGGTCTCATCTTAGGTGGCGCTGGCCTTCCAGGTGGCAGCTTTTTTGGTGGAGGTGGTCTACCAGCTGGTGGTGCTTTACCTAAAGCAAAAAGGTCTATAAGAGGATTAGTCCAATGAATAAATAGCCATGTCAGTTTACGTTAGTTGTCACTTTGCAGATACACAAGTATAAAAAGAAAAGTCAATAATTTATAAAAAATTAACACATTAATATTCAATGTATGGTACTCTTGTTTAAACAATGAAATTAATGCCAGTTAGAATTAAGACTACGGTCATCTATGCCAGACAGGAATATTGTTATAGCCTTATATGGGTGAGTTTAATGTATTCAAGGTTACCTGTTTTCATATATACGATACATGTATGTATATATACCCAAACTTAGTCAAAGTGAAAAATTTGTGATAAAAAAGATGCTAACTAAAATTGTTTGAGTAACGAACATCGAGTTACAAAGACATCAAGTTTAAAAAACAATGAGTTACAAAAAGGACCACGCCCACATTTTAAAAACCACGCCCACATTTTAGAAACCACGCCCACTCTTGTGAGACTTTGTCCAAATTGTAACTCGATGTCCAATTAACAGTCTACAGAACTTTGAGTTATGGGCAACATATATTTGTTGTTTTGTTTAAGCATTCAACTGTTACTTAATCAAAATTTAAAAAAACAATAAGTTATCACAGTATATAAGTGCTGATGACTGTGGGATAAGATGTAGTCAAACTCATCATTGACATTATACATTTGAAAGATTACTGCATTTGTACTATTCATTAGCACATGAGCTCACATAATGATAGTCATGAGTCTATGGCTAAAATAAGTCATGATTAAAAAATAACATTTTATGTAAATTCTTATCAGAGATGTGTTATATAACACATATATATGTGTATTATATTATATAACATATATATATATGTGTATATAAATACAAAAATATGATAGACATAAAACTCACATATCTCCACAAGAGAGTTCTCTTAAGAGTGTCATCTTTGTAAAAATGCACCACAGAAACCTAACATGTTGTTCTTCAAGGTCTCTGATGATACGTGTATGGAGACTAAATTAAATTTAAACTTAACAGTACCACAGTCAGCACATGTACAACATATGTAGTGTGCGATGAGTATATAGGTCACATGACTGCACGAGATGACAGTATAGGTCACATGACTGCACGAGATGACAGTACAGATCACATGACTGCTCGTGATGACTATAGATCACATGACTGCATATGATGACTGTATAGGTCACATGACTGCATCAATTGTGTAGCTACAAAAATGAATGTTAATTTCAACTGGAATGTAGTATTCATTGTCAGTAGTTCTATTATTACCAGATATTCACACAGTATTTGAAAATATTCTTTAATTCATGCATTTTGCACCGGATAAACAGAACATGCCATTGCTCACTGCAGTATATATATATTTTTTAAATTGATTGTCTACCCTTTAAACTTGCTGTGAAAGCTTCATCAAATAGTGTGTAGATTTTGAAAACCACCCTGTAAGCAATGCCAAATTCTCTGTATCTTGGTGAAAAAAGAAGTAGTTATGAAATGATTAATACTAACAATGAATGGAAGACTGAATAAAACATACACATGTACAGGCTACTGGGGTGTCTATGAAATTCACAGCAAAGCTAAGCAAACCTAGTCAAATCAGGCAAGTAGATAAAAAGAAATTCTTGTCAATGATTTTCAGAAGACATTTTTTGTAACTGTAATTAAATTCAGTTTTAAATTTTGTGTAAAAGAAAATTTGAAGTCAGAGATAGAAGGTAAAATTTCGGGACAATTTAAACAGAAAACAAGAATTTCTTTTTTTCTCTAGCCAAAAAGAAAAACCCAAATACAAATGAAAAGTGTGCTGATTCTACAAATATAGCAATTTTGTTACCTTCTGATTCAAAGGTGAGTGTGACTTCTACGGTAACAGTACGACATGGTGACAGTGCAATGCCTGATTTAACTGAAGGAATGCTAGGCTCAACTGTGAAATAAAGTTTTGAAGTGTGCACAAGGGACGAGGGAGAGTGAAAAAAAAACAGAAAAAAGACTTAGTTCAGTGTTGTACCCCACTTAGACAGTATCGATGTGTACCAGACATTGTCAACATGTACGGATTTAGTTCAGTGTTGTACCTCACATGTACATGTAGCACACAGTCTGAGTGTAACTTCCGAACTGGTTTTGACTTTCCAAAAGTATTCTTTGAAGTACATGTAGTTACCAATATCTAAGACATTTAGGTAAATTACCTATTTAGGCAGGTTATTCTAAATTTAGAAATAAGCCTGCTGAATGGTTATGTTACGCTTGAAATGTACTAAGAAACGAGTTCTGGTTGCTGGATTACAATTAGAGTATATTTTGTACTTGACAGAGTATGACTATGAATCTTCAATTTTTTACCAAACATTTTACCAGTTACCTTTAGAAATTGGAAAAATAGCTTTTACTCATACATTACACAAAAAGGGACATATTTAACCTCAATACATATGTTCCAAGACGCCTCAGAAAGAAATGATTTTTTAAGTTTATGACAAAACTGCAGAAAACAGTATCAGCCTCTGACAACAAGGTACACTGAGTGGCATAGCAACTGGTAAACTCATAGTTACACTGAGTGGCATAGCAACTGGTAAACTCATAGTTACACTGAGTGGCATAGCAACTGGTAAACTCATAGTTACACTGAGTGGCATAGAAACTGGTAAACTCATAGTTACACTGAGTGGCATAGCAACTGGTAAACTCATAGTTACACTGAGTGGCATAGCAACTGGTAAACTCATAGTTACACTGAGTGGCATAGCAACTGGTAAACTCATAGTTACACTGAGTGGCATAGCAACTGGTAAACTCATAGTTACACTGAGTGGCATAGCAACTGGTAAACTCATAGTTTGGTGAAAACTTCAGATACATATGTTATGTACATGTACATTGGAAAAACAAAGTAGGATTCCGACTGAAGGATTTGACCACATCCAGATTTGTGATGTGATTGGCCAACTACTGGTCATTTTCCTATAAGAACTCAATCATGTGTTTCCATAATAATTTTAGGAAGGTTTTTTTGGATTGAATCAAACATCACTAGTCAGCATGCTGATCAACTTTGGATTTTCTTGTTTTCATATAATTTCTATGTAGTATGGTGACAAATTAAGAGGCAGCCATGTCATATGTGAAAATTGTAGTTTAGTATGAGGTATAGAATCAAGTTACTTTACTAGGAAACATCACACATGACAGACATTGTGAGGAAAATGGAATTACACAGGAATATGTATGTTCCATCAATCCAGTCAGGTTTCACCACCACAGTAGGATTGGTGCATTACATTTTAATACTACCTCAAAACCAACATAAAAAGAGCACCACCAAGTGTTCAATAATTAAAATACAGTAGGTACATGAAACAAGTCCCATATACATTACAGCTATGCTAATTAGAAAATTTAGCAAAACTTGATTGTAATATAATTACGTATTATTATTATGTAAAATGGTTTCATAATTAGATCGGTATTTGTGAAGATTGGCTATGTGTACCTCACCTTTTTGGGGGGCAGGAGGAGCAGGTCTTGATGGTTTGGCTACATTACTACTGACTGTTTGGGGACTGCTACTAAATGTATCAATTCCAAATCCAAGCAAATCATCTACGGCTGAGGTTGAGGACTCTGAAACAGTTCCTGACCCACCAGTAAGCGCTGTAATGAATACATGTAGAACATCAAAAGTAAATATACAAGAGAAGAAAAACTTTCATTGCTTGCATAGCTATCCTATGGTAGAACAGCGAAGACACCATGTTATAAGGTAAATAACAAAATATTGGTGGAAGTTTATTAGTCTGTACATAGTTTAGCAGGCATTTAATTAGTAAAAAATCAATTATGAATTATTAGAAATCCAGGGTACACATGGCAACATGCTGTATGCATGCAATCATTGGCACATGTATAAAAAACATTACAAATGACCATTTTTTTTACTGATGGTCAAACCATATGATACTGCTGCATATGAAATTAACACACACATGCAAAAGACATGTCAACTATCATGTCCTCTACATCAAAAGTATATAATACAATGTACATACAATATTTGGCAGAATGGCATGCATAAAATATATTAATGTATACAAAGATTAATAGTAGTCTCTGTGTACACATTAATCTTGGAGCATGCAAGGGAATGACCATGATGAAAAGCATGCAAGGGAAATGGCCATGATGAAAAGCATGCAAGGGAAATGGCCATGATGGAAAGCATGCAATGAAAGATTAGGATGTGAGGCATGGTAAGAATGTCAATGGTTAGTGAACAAGGAAGACTGCAGAATAATTACAAGCAATTATAGATCATATGTAAATAAGAGCTATGTTAATAATGATATCTAAGCTGTCAGGTGCATGCACATTTATTATGCAAATACTGGCAATAAATACATACTCCATTCAAAATTTAAGGTACTAGTACACTTATGAATACATGCTAATTTGACTTTCAAACTAAATCAGCGTATGTTTCAGAATAACCTTTTGACACCTTATGTGATTCCAGATGCTTGGGTATACAACCTTAAACCTTGTTAAATATCCAATCAGCAACGACCTTACATGTAATTCAACTGTAACTTCTAATCTGTGGTTTGTACTCTGTTGATTGGCTCTTGCAATTGGCTATAAACTAATTACCTGCTACTTTGATATCCATATAG